AAAAGCTCGTTTGTTTATGCTACTGGTATGCAATTTCTTGCGATTCTCTTGAGAGTTTGTTTTTTTTTGGTCTACAAATACTCTTTTTAAAGTATGGTGTGCTATGACTTCCGATTTCCTTATTTCTCCTCATAACAGATAAATTATTCTTAATCTCTGCTGTTTTTTTCTAGGAATGACTTCTTTGTTTGGGAGGAAACATTCCTGGGTAGCCAACCCAGCCTTTTATCGAGCCCTCCTGCAAAATAAGCCAGTTCCATTGCACATCTGTAGATAAAGATGGGTGCCCAGGACAGCATAATACCTACATATTAGCAAACCTTTTATTCTTCTGTACAGTTTAGTTTTTACAAAACTTAGTTTGTATTCTTCTTCAAGCAAGGACTGATGACTGTGACCCTGCTCAGAGAGGAGGTGGTGTGTCTAGGGAGCCAGCTTCTTTGGGATGTGCTTCAGTCCCTGAAGCTTGAGTAACCTGTAGTTTGTCAGTCATAGCATTATTGCTGCTAAACTGTTTTTGCAGTTTGTGGAAGGTCCTTTGTTTACTGCAGTGGAGAGAGAAGTTGCTTGGAAAAGGTTATGTTGCTAGAAGCTCTTGGAGTGAAGTTTACAACTGAAAAGTTAGGATGCTTCTTTCAGGCCTATGAGACTGGCTGCTTAATTTTTTTTTTCTAATAGAATCTCATGTTACCTGTGAGTTCCAATAACATATTGATAGAAAGTCCACACTTTCTTTTAGGGGAGTTGTATGTTTTCGTGTCAGATTGTGTAAGTATTTGGGAAATGCCAAGAGTGTCGTCTATTCAAAGATGCCTTTTTCTGTCCTCTTCTTCTTCTTCTTTATACCATTCACCCCTCTTTCCTCCCTCTACCCTTTTCTCACCTCTCGAAGTAGGGCTTAGTATTACAAGTGACTTGAGCTCAGCTTCAAACCCACTTTTACAGTGGGAAAAATTTCTGTGGCAAGACTGTGTGAGAGTCTTGCTCAGCAGAATCTGTGTACTTAGTTTTATGAGGATGTATATGCAGAGAAGAATTAAGGAAATGACAACTGTGTCTTTATTTCCTATGACAATGAAATGATACAACGAGTTTGCCTGCTACCAGTATTCCTGCAATTACTCTATGAGGTTGATAGCTAAGCTGGTGCGTCTGTTGCCAGGAAGAGCTCTGAGTGAAGTTGGTATTTGCATTTTGATTTTTGCAAGACATTTTGCCAAATTTGCCTTATGGTGTTTGAAAACAAATGGAATTCCTGGAGAAGATAGTATCAGTCGGATTCAGAGAAACAATCTCTAAAGTCAAGATTACTAGCAAACATTAATATGCGACAAATATCCAATTTATAACTTCTTTAACAAAGATCATCATCCTCAGTGGATTTCTGTGTGACGATAGCGATATGGGAGTCCAGAAGTAGGTTAATATGGCTACCTTTGAATTAAGGTGATGAGTTATTTTACAGAAAGGGTTATTAATTCATCTCTGCTTTGTTTGTATGTTTTGCAAATCACATAATTGGGAATTAACAACAACTTCTGTATGGATGGTACTAAACAAAGGTAGTAAGGCAAAATGCTTTCCTACTTTCCTACTATTTTTAAAACTGTAATATATTTCAGTTGTCTTTATTTTTCCAAGGCTTTTTTAAATAAGAGCGTAACTTTTTACAGTAATGTTTGATTTACTCTTGCTAGGCATAAGAAGATTCTTGGATCAGATGCTTAATTGATTTCAGCAATCCAAAGGAAATAGTTTGTAGATGTACCGTGAGCAGCTGAGAACATTGTATTCGTTTGCTTTTCATGTGTGACCCTTGAGCCCTGGTGGTCTGCAGCTTACAAACTATATATTGTATAATACATTTGCGTTAGCTTGCATCAAGGATCGTCCTAAAGAACTGGCTTTCAGTTTCATTTTTGCCCTAATTATAAGAGCTCTGAGATAATGTTGCTTTATTTCTGTTCTCTGGTGAGTGATTGTTTTCTAAGCAATTATACCTTGATTCCTACAGTTATCAAAATTGAATAACTTGCATCTGAAAGCTTCTTGCAGGCAGTGGGTTGAAACAGCTCTTATTGATGGAAGTGCCAGAGTTTTATTCTGTTTTAAAATGTTATTTATCACTTACATAACTGGGCTTCTTGGATTGTGTTTAAAAAAATCGTTATTGTTGCACTTCCACTTTGTTTTAAGGGTGTGAATAATAATGAAGTCTTCAATGGGTATGTGTCTGGAAAGTATCACACAATAAATATGAGGAGACCTGACTAGCTGATTGTAATTATAATTACAATTACCAAAAGTAAGATAATGAAGCTCAAGAGTTGTTTTTTATTACCTCATTCCATTTCTGTTATCTTTCTGAGGTTAACTTTGTTACACTTTCTATTAGTTGTAACTGTTTAAAAATAATAGAAGAATAACAAAAGCTCCATTCTCCATCTGGGAGAAACCACTATTCGCTTTTTAAAATACAGTTTAGAACACTTGTTATCAAATGTAACAGTGCCTCTTAGAATTGCTTTCCAAAAGACTTCTTCCTTAACTGAACTAATGTATTTCTGCCTGTGTTACTATTAGGATATTGAATTAGATACTAAAATTACACAGTTCATCCTCCTTTTGCTCCTTTAGCTATTACTAATTACTTGTGATTACCCTAAGAACATTATAAACACAGCATGCAAGGAAGCTGCTTGAAATTTTGTGTCATTTCAAGTGTTCTTTACCAGTTTCTGTTTCTACACTAAGGACAGACAGGTGGAGGAGCACTGTTTTTGCACGGCCTTTTCTGCCTTTTCCTGTAATCAACATTTTTAATTTTCTGCTTAAAGTAGGCACAGCATCACAGAATAGTTGAGGTTGGAGGGCACCTTGTCTAACCCCCCTGCTTGGAGCAGGATCTGCTAGAGCCAGTTGCCAAGGCTCATGTTCAGTCAGATTTTGAGTGTCTAAGGATGGAGACCTCACAACCTCTACTGTAAGAGGATGATCTTCAGTGTTCTTAAAACATTTGGGAACCTGGACAAAAATTACTTAAGTTCACCAAATGCATCCTTTTTAAAATTAGCACTGGTCTTCATGTAAAAATGTGATTTGGGTGTCTTGTTTTTGTAATAAGTGCATCATATTCTTACTTAAGAAATTTATTTTTTTGATTTAAAATTCTAATTACTATTGAAGTCCAGTTCATCTCACCATCATATATGCTTAATTCAAAAAAGAAATATACTAGTTACCATTTTTGTATAAAAATATGAAGTTGAGATGGTAAAAAAGTTTGAGTAAATACATGGTTTAAAATAAAGTTTTGAATTTAGTGCTAGTAAAAAAAAAAGTCACAGCTGTAGTCCAAAGACTTCAATAAAGACCAGGGGCAATGTGTGCCTGTGTGTATTTTGCTGTTACCCCATAGTCAAAGGTATTTCAGGTTTGCAGTTGCCAGCAAAACAGCTGTCAGTGGATGAGATTTTAAGGGCTGCAGGGTGTCTGTGGGAAAGATCATTCACGTACCGTAATGTCTTGCTTGAAGTTCAGTATTTGTTCCAAATAACTGGGTTGTTTTTTTGTGATTACCAACCCGAATGAATCATTCCCTTGTTAGGAAACAGCAGGTAATTAAGAATGTTATTTAAATTGTGTTTTCCTGTCACTGACTGAAATTATGATTAAAATTGGTCATGTAAATCTTTTAATCCTATTAAGCAAATGGGAATTGCAGATAAAGCCTAAATGGCCACCTGACAATTCCACCTGCAGGCCTGAGCTCTTAACTAGCCGAGCTCACTTCTGTAGTTCATGCCTTCTTGTGGCTTGTAGGAAGAAATTCACAGTAGCATGTAACCTTTCCATTTTATTTTTCTAGGTTTCCAGCAAAAACCAAGGCAAAAATCTGGTAAATTTGCCCCTGATATCCAGTTGGTATCAGAGAGTTCAAGAAGTACCTGGAATAAAGAAAGCTGCTGGCAAATGCAATATGGAGCTCCTCCAGCTTCCAGAGTTGATGTCTGCTCCAGAGGAACAGCTACAAGACTTCTCTTCAGTTCCTGATGAATTAGAAGAGGAGAATGAAAACAGTCATTTTATAGGTGGTCCAAGGCCAACTATGAGCAAGTTAATGGTAATTTAAGCTTTTTAATGAGTTATTTTTAACAGTAATAATCTGCTTGATTTGGAATAGGTGAAATTTATTAGAATTGTAGAAGCTGAGTCTGACAGCCTTGAACAGTTTAATACCTTTTACCTGTCTTCTGTCTGATATGCATTGACTTAGAGGGATTTTATTTTTTTGTTCTGTTACGATACTTGATTGATTCAGGAGTTGAGCAAAGATAGGACTGCTGGAAGCCCTATCAATAATTCTGAATAATCAAAGAAACTTTTTGTTTGAATTGCAATATTGTATTCCTCTTTTAAAGATACTTATATAAAGGATGACGAAAACATTGCTTTTATGTTTGGCTTCATTATTCTATCGTTTCTGTTTGTGTTTTTGCTATTTGATTAGAGCTTTGAACATCTGGGAACCATAATGAGTTTTGTTAAAGAAAACTCTCCATCATGTTCTGTAACTCTCGGTATTTTTTGCATAGAGGCTGACAGCATTTCCTAAGGAAAATTAATAGGACTTTCTTGTGAAAATGAGAAATTCATAATTTAAATCCCATATAATGTAGATTCAGCTGCCTGTTTAGTTTCAGTTAGGCTGAAAGTGTTGCACAGTTCGATCTGATGCCATTAAATTCAGTGGGAATTTTGCTACCAACTTCAGTGGATAAAGGATCAGTGTCTTAATTTGTTTTTTTTCTCGTTACATAGGAAAATGGTATTGAAGCAAAGTTTTCTCCTCATCCGTGCCCCAACTGGACCATAGACTGGACCAATCTACCATCTGCAGTCAATCCTGGAGAAGGTAAGGGGTTTTATGTATGTGTGTATGTATTTAATGGTGCCGCCTTCTGAAGCTACTTAACCGTTTCATAGGAAAATAGGTCACTTTTCAATGTATTTCAGAGCTCTGTAAGCAGTTTTAAATCTGTTTTAAAATTCAGTCTGTTTAGGACACATGGTGAGGTGACTTCCCTCAGGTCATCAACAGCTGATGGCCAAACTGGGAATAAAAACTTGACCCAATTCCTGAACCATATTTTTTCCCCCCACTGTTTCCCGCTTTCCTGAGACTTTCTTCGTATCTACAGCAGTAAATTCTGACCACATGATGTTAATAGAATCGGCATGAGTGTTGTACATGGCCTGTGCCTCCCAAAGCAGCAGCAGCTGATTTTATTTTGATGAAAACAATATTCATTAGCAAAGTTTAGTAGCTACATTTGAGTGAGTCTTCCCTTTTGTGGGAATGCCCCCTGCCCCACAGGGGTTATTTGCTTTGCTGGCTTCAGGTCAGTCTGTTGCCTAGTGGCTATAGTTCTAGAGAGAAAAAACTAATTTATCACAATGTTTGTTGTTTTCATTGCTGTTGTGAATATTGAATACCTCTTCTACCACACAGTAGAGTTTCCTCTAAAAGATTTTACACATACTGCCAGACAGTAAGAAGTCAGTGGACGGTAACACCTTTCTACAGGGAAGTAAAAGGTTTGTGTTCTTTTGTGTCAGTAAGATAACTTAGAAACTGGAGTCAGTCTAGCTTCAGTGGCATAGAACTTCTGATTTAAAGAATACAGAAATATACACGCAATGTATAGATGCTTTTCAATGACCAATATGTGAAATTTCTCATAGAATGTGTTGGGAATCACTGAAGAGCTATAGGTGCTTACAAAACTCTTTTGTTTTTTTTTAAATATCTGTGTGATTAAAAGCATGTATTCCCATCTATGATATACAGGCTATAAAAATAAGATCAGATTTGAAGTTAGTTTCCTCTGGTTTGGATCTGTGTATAGTTCACAAAGCCATGACAAAACCCTCATGTGCACTATGAGTAGATATATAGTTTTATATAAAGTGTCCATCCTTCTAATGTGAACTGTTTTCTTCTGTTTTTGTCCTGAGGGAACTCTTTACTGGGAAGTTGCACACCCTGCTTTAATTATTGATCCTTTATTTCCTTTAGCATGGAAGAAAAAAAAAAACAAACCCAAAACAAAACTTGGGCTCGCATCTGTCAACATTACATCATGCTTTTTCAGACTTTTATATGGATGTTTTGAATATACTTCTTATGTTAAAATAGCTTTGTAGTCTGACTGCTGAAATACTCAGGGAGGACTATATACATTGAATTTCTGTGACAAGTTCCAGTATTTTGTTGGAAGTGAATAAACATTTTTGCTTATTTCCAATGCTCAGGGTTTTGGCTGTAAGTTTTAGTTCATACTTTTGTCAAGATATCTCTTTTCTTCTATTTGAAATAAAATTTTCAAAAAGATGCATAACATATAAAAGCACATAGTGAATGTGTATTTGGAAATTCTGTGCCAGGAGGAGTCTCTTGGACTTGGTTTGACTGGGGGAAAAATCAGCTCCTGCTGCTTCCTGCGTATGTGCGTGCTCGCTCTCTCTTTTTTTCATGTTTGCTGAAATAGTTACTAATGACATTGATGCCTGAAATTGATTTTCAGTTTAATTTTTGGGAAGATTTGCCAGCTCAACAGGGTGCCGAGAGAGAGGTTTTGCCTCCCTCCACCCAAGATCACACTGGCTGATGCCATTTTCTGATGTAGGTAAACTCCAAATGGTTGTGCTTTGTAGTCCAGGAGCAACAGTGTCACATAGGACAATAAGAAATTTCCTGATATAAGAATTGATTTTGCTTTTCAGTTGGATACATCTGCATGCTTACTTCTGCTGTTTTATTTGGTACTGTTCTCTGTTTCCTAATTACAGCCTAATAATTGTTATATGAATTGAATTTGCAATATTTTACTACTAAATCCTACCTGGCATGCTAAGAAAATAGTCACTGAATCTGTCAGGGCTTTAAACTGGGCTTAAGTAACACAATTCAGGCTTTCAAACAGATTATCCCTACAACTGGTAAATAAATTCATGGAATCACAGAATGGTTGGGGTTGGAAGAGATGTCTGGAGATCATCTAGTCCAACCCCTCTTCCAAAGCAGGTCCACCTACAGCAGTTCCTCTTATTGATGTTCATAGCAGTTGAAACAAAGTAGAGAGTGTTTCAGTTAAAACTCACTTTGTTTTTATCCACAGTAAATTTAATTTGCTGGCAAATCTTAATTTAAAAGTATACGTGGTACACTTTCTTTGCTCTGTATCACCTTAGGTAACTCAGAATTTGTGTTATGTATGTGGAAGTTCTGGGATTGAATTGTTCAGTCTATCTCTAAGTCTAATTAGACCACCTTGCTGTCACAGCTGTTTACTACAGAAAAGAATTACTGATGATTGTGGTTGTAATGTATTATTTAGATTATACATTTACTTTCATTCATTTTTTTGATAGGTATTATTTACTGTTGCCAAACTAAAGATTATGACATCATTATTTGCATTTCATTTGCTTAGTAATATTTCTGAAGCAGAATGAGATAGAATAGAATAGATTATTTCAGTTGGAAGGAACCTTCAACAATCCTCTAGTCCAACTGCCTGACCAATTCAGGGCTGACCAAGTTAAAGCATGTTGTTAAGGGTGCTCTCCAAATGCCTCTTAAACACTGACATGCTTCGGACATTGACCACCTCTCTAGGAAGCTTGTTCCAGTGTTTGACCACCGTCTCGGTAGAGAAATGCTTCTTAATGTCCAGTCCAGTCCAATTCTAAAGTTGTGTGTATCAGTCTTGAGACCTGTGTCAATCTGTAAGCCTTTGTGAGCATCTGGACTGTATTTGAAACACTGCAAAATATCCCAAAATATAGTATCTTAGTGCCCTTTGTAACTGTTCATATCGTGGGATATTGTAGTTGTTGAGTTGTTGTTACAAACTTTCACTTTTGGAAGGAATTTAACACAAAATATTTCATTTATTTTAAAATGTATTGTAAATACTGGTTTCTGTCCTAGTTTACTGTATAAAAACTTGGCCAGTACTTGAACTGTATTTTTTCTAAGCGTGTTTTCCAAATCTATGTTTAGATCAGAAATATGTTGATACTGTCTGTTAAATACAGAAGCCAAAACCCCTCAGCACTTTGTTGTTTCTTCCAAATCACATAGTGTGTAAAGACTCACCCCCAAGCAGACAAACCAAGTCTGTCTGCCTAAATACCTCTCTTCGTATTGAAAAATTAATTTGTGCAAAATCTCAAAAGAAAATATGGTATTTCTAAGTTATATCAGAGGTGAATATTGGAAACTTGTATGCCATTAAAATATTTAATGAAATACTTATTTACAATAAATACTTCAGTCGGCAGTAGATACAACCCAGAGGTCCTAACCAAGCTCAGTGCTTGGTTGTGTTGAGCTTTCTGTAGAAGTAAAGGAATATACAGTTGTAAGTGTGTAGGGACAGTAAAAGAGGGTGGCAGGTCAGAATATAAAAGTGTAGGTGGTCACAATGTGAGACTGAAGGAAAATGAGGTACTTACATCACGTGATTATCTCCCTGTACTGCTGATGCATGTCAACATAGAAAATGTTTTCATGTTTT